AACCACCCAGCCACCCAGCCACCCAACCACCCACTCACCAAAACAAACGCAGGCCGACAGCCGCAAACAAAGACACCGCACCACACATGCTCAACCCCGAAACTTCTCCAGTCGGCACTCTGGTCTACACTCGGAAAAATAAATAAGCAAATAATTTAATGGTTTATTAATCATTTGATGCAACAGCAAGTATTCCTTCTGAATACTTAGTTTCCTTTAATCGTGTCACCTTTTGATTTTGCATTAATATTAATTTTGTTTAAGGACGAGCAAGTGATGTGTGTTAATTGCAGTGCTTAGCTGTTGGCCGTTCAGCGCAGTATTTTCTCCGAGTGTGGCCTGGGTGGGCCCCTGTGTGGACCCAGCAATCAATCCAAATGATATACACATTTCAGACTTGGCTCACTTCTCGGCTCAGCTCTTCCCAGCTCCGCCTGGCTTGGCATGTTTGCTCAGGGCAGCGAGGGTGAAGATTTGATGTATTTGACAGATAGACTCCGTCCGTCGGTGATTTTTTACGGGCGCAGAGGCGGCGGTGTGTGGTCTGCGGACAATATGTCTCAGTCCTGGGCAGAAATGGCGTGAGCAATGGCTCTTCGGTCAACGGGCACGGGGATTATTGATATTTAAATGGCAGCTAAGCAAATTGGCAGCTGGAACGGTTGCCCCGAAAATATATTATGCTGCGAATATGTGTAAATTAGGCTTATATATTATGCTAATGCCGCACAGTGGTACACATCTTGCACAACATAGTTGTGCACTTATATAAGCAATTTATAAACACAATCTAATTTTGCGATCAATTAAACAGATATCATCTAGTCAGAATGCTGACATTATGCCTCCCTTGTGTAAAAAGAGTTTCGAATTTCATTTGTTGTTCAGATGAGCCAAAATATTAACAATTTAGAAATGAAAAATGCACAATCCTGGCGCTCGGCGCCTGACAGAGGTTTTGGCTTAATTCAATTAAATAATGTGGAGCAGCTGTCCCGCGATCCTCTGACGCAGCGCCATCATCCGACCGGGCACACTCGCATCTAATTAAAATAATGATGCCCCGACCACCGGCTTGTTTTCGTACGGAAATATTTGCGGGGCGTGGCGATTGCCTTGGACCCGGAATCCTCGGAGCCGGAGTTTCCGGCCAAGAAAGAGCGGCGGCGGCATCAGGGCGTAACGAAATGCGCATAAAACAGGGAGAATTTACAGCCAGTGTGCTTCTTAATGTGCCATGGCGAACCGCAGGACACTGCCTGCCAGAAATCAGACACCAGTCGTACTGGGCTTGCTTTTTTGGGCGGCTTTTGGCCTCATTTCGAGCGTTTATTCATTGTGCCTTTTAAGAGCTTCCGTTTCGTCACGCATAACGCTTTCGAACGACAATGACACGAACATCAAAATCATCAGCATTATCTGCACAGCCACACGGAACACGGACTACGTAGTACGGAATACAAAATACCGACTACGGAGTCCGGAACAAGCGACGTGGCATCGATGTGAGTGAGTGTCCGTGGAGACACGAGCTCTTAAACGTCCGCAATCCAACTACAAAATGGAACAAGTGCCGGGGCGTAGGGATCGAGCAGAGATGACGTCCTGGCCAGGACGAAAGTCCTAGTTCGATTGGTTTCAGCCTCAATTATAAACAACTATTAAGGAGCATTGGGTAGTCACTTTTTTATGGTCACTTTTTTATGGTAAGCAGAGAAAATCATGTTTAAGTTATATGAAATCATGAATACCCACTAAGGACTTCCGGTTTGGTATGAGCAATTTCCAGTCAGCAGCTTAAAGCTGTCATCACTAGCATGCGGTTGGCCCACCTCCTGCTCGCCACTGGTTGGCCCAATGAGTGAGGTGTCCCTGTCCGGCGCTCCTTGTCTGGCCATGTTTGACAACATCTAGGCAAAATGGTGACGTCGTCGTGGTCGTCGAGGTTCCTGCATGACATGGCGTATGCGTAACGCTGCGTTTACGAGCGTGTTTTTATGGCAATTGACATCATCCGAGGTGCTTGTAAGCGTTGGTGCGCATTTTAATTTAATGCTAAGCTGAACTATAAGCACATAAAATTTGATTGCACTTGCACATTCGCACCGGGCAGATAAATAAACAGAATAAACACATAGGCAGTTCCGCTGGCATAAGTAAACAATTTATATAATTACCCGCCCAGTAGCTGCGCTTAACTGATTGCTTTATTATTTTTTCGAGTGTCATGTTTGCCGTTTTAATTCCGACAACAATACGGCTGCAGCATAAATATTTACGAGCGGACTGAGCCAAAGTCCAGCGAATCTCTCCCAGTAATAACAATAATGGTGGGCAGCAAAAAATAAAATACGCGGCTTAAACATATGCAAATAATATGGCAAATAAATTTGTTCACATCATCAACACATTTACTGGACTGGTAACTTAATTACACATGTAAACAATTTCATCAAGACAATAAAAAGGGCTGCCTCTGCCGTTCATGGATGCGGCCAAATAGTTGGTCAAGAGATATGTACATATGTACATATGCCAAGCAATTAAGGCCCAAATCTTCAAAGCCAAATTCAGTGAGCAGAAATCAAAGCCAAGCAATTACCGGGGAATATGTGTCGGAATTTAGAGGGAGCAATCGGATCTATATGCGGATTGCTTTTCAAGTGGCAAAGGGGCAAGTGCGAATGGAAATCGCAACATTTTCATGCCACTCGAACATGCAGCGAAATGAGCAGTGACTGCCACCGGATTTTTGTAATTGCCACTTGTCGTGTAAATAAAACGAGTGCCACTGTCATGTGCAGTGTCCCTTTTGCATATATTACTACTCGCACTTTTTCCATCGCTGCGAGTGCCGCATGTACGACTTTTTTCGCCAGGTGCATTGACGCATAAATTCCAGCAAATACACGCGAGAACTCAATATGTGCGATTGCAAGTGGCAATGTTGCAACATGACTGATTCGATGCGCGGCTATAAATAAAGTCGTTATGCATGCATTAAATATAAATGGGAGTGGACCGGACCACTAATCACTGCACTGATTTATTCGAATTGGATGCGGAATTTATGACAAGATTTGCCAAGCCACTTCCAAATCCATGTCTAAATTTAAATAGAATTGTATATTGCCTCTGCCAGGCCAACAAATCAACTCAAGTGTATCGAAATGAGTTTCGCTTGATTTTCCCCCATCATCCCAGAATACTGTATATATGCCCACCCACATCACCCTCTAGATTTCAGTCCAAATTTCAGCCAAAGGCTGTGACATTTCATTCGCGGCAATTAGGAGCCAATTTCACGCGTCGTTCTCGCAGCGAAACCATAAATTTCGCCCGACACTTGTCCGGCTGAAGGCGACTTAAATGGTTCAAGGTATTACGGCCAAGACTATATTTTATTGGTAATGGGAAAGAAATGCGGAGAGTGCGGTTCATTGAATTGCAGTCGTAAAAAGTTGAAAGAAACCAACAGCTTTTTTCCAATTAAAAAATTATTCCATTCACGTAAATATTTTCTAGAACTCTAATTGACAAATTAACAGAATGGTGCCGAAACCTGTTGAAAAACATTTCAAATCGAAATACATTTCAAGTAATTTCTTTCATACCCATATTAAAACCATTCATTCAGCATTCAAGTTGTGCATTTCTTAGTCAGCTTACATAAGCGATGGCTTAGAAGCATTTCCAGTTAGGAAATCAAAGCGGCAATAAGAGCAGTCATTGATTAAGCCATCAATCACATTAGCTTTGACTGCATGACAAGATGCAAATGCCGGCTTTGTATATTTCTGTATTGCATATATGCAAAAGAATCGTCTCTTTGGTAAGAGTGCAAAAGCAAATCCTCAAAACGGGCCAAATGTCAACTGGAATGAAACGGAAGTCGCATTCGATGGCAAGAGACATTTGATGGCCATCGGATCATTTTTCACTTCATTCATAAGCCGGAAAACGTAATTTATGATGGGAAATTCCTAAGACTGAGCAGCAGGCGATAAATTTACGGTTTGCGAAACGTTATTAATTGCTAATTACCTCCGAACATGATTAATGCCCTCCTAGCCGCCGCGTTCATCTGCATTACAGTTTGCCCATTGATGTGCCTTTACACATGGAGGTAAAATAACATAGTATGTTCTAAATACAAGTATATATTATTTTGAATATATTTTAGTGAGCACATTGATTCCCATTTATATAATTTAGCTTTATACTGGAATTTGACCATTAATTTAAAAAGTAGGTATATTTCCCAATGTGGAGGAAAGTCGTCCGAGTTTCCACTTGATCCAAGCGTCAGCCACGTGTGACTTTCTTTCGGCTGGCCGAGCTGAAACTGCCGTGTAATGTAATAATTGCGAAACTATTCATCATGTTTTGGGCGCCGCTCGGAGCGAACAGCAGCCACTTGGTTGCGCGTCTGGGGTCTGTCAAACGCGGCGTATGAGCAATGTGGCCCACACGCACACGCACTCGCACTCGCACACACACACACACACACACACAGGCGTGCGAGGTTAACTAATTAGCATGTCAAAGCCATCCATATTGCCACAACGAAGCCGTTTCAAAGTGTTGCCTGCGTTGAAAAGAAAAGCCAACCCAAAGGCGCAAATCCCATTTAATTATGCTTTTATATTCATAATCCCCTTCCATGTTTTCAGCATAATGCGATCCTTAAAGGACCCCGTGCACGCCAGCACACGCAGCTCACACTCATCTATCTGTTTGATTAATCCTTTGTCAATGGCTCGGACTTAAGGCGAGCAACTAATTTGCTCTCGATGGGTCCCTAGAAAGGACTTGCTGTCGTAAAACAAAACGACCCAGCACACACAATATAAAATTAAATTAAATTTGTCAAAGGCTCGATGGTGAAGGACCATTAAATGCCCATAATGGCCATATGTGTTGGGTTGTGCATATCGAACATTGTGGTAAACGTATTCCCTATTGGCTGCCAAAACAAGCAATTAAAAGAGCTTGTGGAGTTATATTCACTTCGGGCAGCTGTATTTCAGAAACTCAAGGAAGCCACAATTGGATGGCAAGCTCATAGTATTCTTTACTAGCCGAGTATAAAATTAAAATTATTAGAAGGGTTTCTACCCTTTTGCATCGTGTCGGTGCCTCAATTGGAGTCCATAGACGTGGTTTCCGTGCTTGTAATTTCCCTTCTTACCCTTCTTATGCTGGCACTGACCGTCTTTCCCGGGAGTCTCATATGGTCGACACTTACGTCCGCTTCGGAGCAACCTGCCCGGCAGGATGTAGTTCTTTCGGGGGATATTATGCCCCGAAATGGGGGGACCCGAGTATGGCGCCCTTTTTTCTTTTTCGATCTTGATCTTTTCCTGATAGACGCCTCGTGCCGATCCGTAATTGGAGTACACCACCTGGTCGCGGTACAAGCTGCTGTGGTGCATTGGCACTCGATTTGAATCCCTGTGCGGTAGAAACGGTAGCTTCGAGCAGCCAAAGGGAGTCCTCACCTCATCCTCCTTGCACTGCATCACGTCGACCAGGCCAGCTCTTGCCTTGGCCTTGCCGAAGCCTGCGTCCTTCCAGGAACTCAATATGATCTTGTTCAGAAAGTTATCGCGGTTCACGCAGCCATTTTCGGAAAGAATTTCGTTGGACTTGCACTTGGATGAACCCGACGCCTCTGGTTTGGTATTTTTAGGAGCCACTTCGGCCGCATTGGGTGATGCAGTAGGTTCAGTTGGCACATTGGATACATCTTGGGAAAATACCCCTAATAAACTGAAGTACAATAGAACTCCGCAGAAAAAGCGGTGAACTTGCATCTTGGGGTGCAAAACTTAGCGAATTGAAAAATATATCCGAAAGAAAATGAGGTGTAACGGGTTTAGTGTTAGACTGGAAAATTAATTTGTTTTGCATTACCATAAAGATTCGATTTTCACTTCAGGTATCCCCAGAGCTTTTGTAGGTACAACTTTTGATAACTATGCTATTCGTCTATAGTACCAAGAAAATATATCCTTATATTTACAAATGACTATTAACGTACTAATCAATTTTCAGGGCGTTGTTAAACATAAAGCTGAGTTGATCGTGACAACTGTAATTTGGAATAAAAACATTTTGTGGATACGAACATGCAACATTTTTTATTATTGGAACGGTGTAATATTCTGTAGTTTATGTAGTTTATTTCCGCCTTTCGTTTTCGTTTGTTTGGTGTTGGGTTTGCCCTACTGACCGTTTTCTCTGAATGCAGCGACTCCTTCTTCCCAGGACCTCATTAGCCCGGCATTTGTGTCCCTTTCTAATACTCCTTCCCGGCAAGAATACGTACTTTCGTGGGCGATTGTGCCCAGTAATCGGAGGTCCGGACTCTCTAGGTTTCCGAATGGGTTTTCGTTCACTATCATCCACATGGTGATACAGTTTAAAAATACCCTTGTCGTGCACAATCCGTGCGCCATCTAGTCTGCTGTGGTGCATTGGCACTCGATTTGAATCCCTGTGCGGTGGAAACGGTAGCTTCGAGCAGCCAAAGAGAGTCCTCACCTCATCCTCCTTGCACTGCATCACGTCGACCAGGCCAGCTCTTGCCTTGGCCTTGCCGAAGCCTGCGTCCTTCCAGGAACTCAATATGATCTTGTTCAGAAAGTTATCGCGGTTTACGCAGCCATTTTCGGAAAGAATTTCGTTGGACTTGCACTTGGATGAACCCGACGCCTCTGGTTTGGTATTTTTAGGAGCCTCTTTGTCCGCTATGGGGGATGCAGTAGGTTCAGTTGGCACATTGGATACATCTTGGGAAAATACCCCTAATAAACTGAAGTATAAAAGAATTCCGCAGAGAAAGCGGTGAACTTGCATCTTGGGGGGCAAGACTTGGCGGATTGAAATACATATCCGAAAGAAAATGAGGTGTAACGGGTTTAGTGTTAGACTGGAAAATTAATTTGTTTTGCTTTACCATACAGATTCGCTTTTCACTTCACGCATCCCTAAAGCTTTTATTAAGTAAATCTTTTGATAACTATACTAAAACTATAACTAGTTTATCGCCAGTCTTTATTTTCGTTTGGATGATGTTGTCGTTACCCTACTGACCGTTTATTTGAATGCTCCGACTCCTTCCCAGGACATCCTCAGCCCAACACTTGTGAGTCCTCCTTCCCGGCGAGAATAAGTACTTCCGTGGAGGTTCCAACATCAGCATCATCCACATGGTGATAGAGCTTATGTGCTGAAGGGGCACCTTCAGATGCACTGCATCCTACCTACCAGATCAGCTCCTGCTTTCGCCCTTCCAAAGCCTTGGTCCTTTCGCCATCTTGTCACGATCTTGTCGGGGAAGTTCTCGTGATCCTAGCAGCATTCTCGGATAAAATTTCAATGGACTTGCACTTTGATGCTACGGATGAATTGGAAGCCCCTCTCATACTGTTCCTTGGATGTTCAAGAAGCTGAAGTGGTAAGCTCTATTAAAGATAGAATTAAACCCGGCACTGGGCCGTATTTAACAGCATTCAACAAGTTTTCGCCGCTCACCTCAGTCCAAACTATAATATTATTGTGTTTGATGGTCCAGGAAATCCATTTGCCTTGGTCTCCCGTGAAACTTGGAGCTAATGCGCTCTAGATAAATACAGCACATTTCTAGTAGGGCCAGAAAAATAATAGTTGGCTGATACATATTCTCGTTCTAACGTGCCACACGTTTTTGCGAGTGGCAAGTTCTCAAAGTTTTGAATTAGCAACATTATTGATTTTCGGTAGTTGGTGAAATAATAAACGAAATCAATTGGCGGACTTGTGAAACTTTCAAGGTGTTGCTGTGGCCTTTTGCTTCTCCTTGCGGCTTGTTGTTTCGCTCTGCAATCTCAATTTCCCCCACAATAAAATTAATGTTTTACGTAGCCAATTCCGAATCGTTTATTTCACATAAAAATGCGATAAATAAGCGACGCATCCTGTGCGACGCCGTCGAAGACGCCAAGGATAAGCCGTTGCTGTTGTTGTGGTGCGTGGGGTTTCGATTGTTGTTGTTCCTCTTGCCCATCCTGGCTGAACTGTAGTGTTGTTGGGCTTGTTGTTGGTATTTCACTCGTTGCGCACCTCCAGCATCGTGTATTTATAGCGCAAACAATGGAAAGGATGTTGTGCAAGGACATACGCGCCGGATTACTGCGGAGCGCGGGGGGCAGCGTGGGTCCGTGGAAAGGGGGCTTACGAACAATGCGAAGCCACGCCCCTCTTCTCTTCAGCTATCCGCCTTTCTCCTTTGACTGCTGGTTAAAAATAAAGAGGGAGCTTACTTCACGGGTTGGTTACCCAACGGAAAGTAATGGGAATCCACGGGGAAGATCGAAGGTGGAAATAGTTTAGATGGGTTAAATCATTTTCCAGTCCTTTTAAAATATTTTTCAATTTTTAGTAACACATTCTGATTATTATAACTTACATTGTGATAGAAATGCTATCTGGCTAAAGAAAACCTCGTTGTTTTAACCAAAAATTTGAAAAACCTGATTTTGTCTTAAAAAGACATCATAAAACGATTTAGAAACGAGCTTCAAAACTTCATTGAAAGCCCAGAAAGCATATAAAAATAAAGGCATTGCCAAAAGTTGAGATGCTGTAATAGGGAAAGTGCGGCAACAATGGCGCGGCGCGTGACCCCGCCGAAATCCTAGCAACCCTGACAACCCTGGCAGCTCTAGCTCTCGCTTGCGACTCCTGTTAAAAATTTCATGTTAATGGCCACACGAAGATTCGCTCTTAACCCTTTTGCCCCGCGGGTGCTGCTGTAAGTGTGTGTGGGCGTGGGTGTGGGTGTGGGTGTATACACTATAGACCCGAGTGTGTGGTGGTGTGCGCGGTGTGGCTGTATCTGTGGCAGGCAGCGTGTAAGTGTGCGTAACAGGTCATTGTCCCAGTGTTTTTCGGTCGCACCTTTATGGCGAGGACAAGGCAGCTTATTTCCTTTGGCTGTCCTTTTTGCAAATTTCAGTCCAGCCCGTGCACACGCAAGCGTCTTTCGCCAGCGTCCTTTCGTCCCTTTTCAGCAGAAGGGAAATTGCTTTAATTAAGGATATCTTGCGAAATGTTTGCTCATATTTATAACCCAGTCGCTTCGTTGGAGAGGTGAAAACTGAACAGTGAAAACTAGAAAACGAGAAAAAGGTGCGCAATCAAAGGCGGAAAATCGTTAGAGAATAAAATCGAAATAACAAAGCGGCCACAGGAGAGAGATAACGAGGGAAAGGGGAAAAATAAGATGGGCAGGCGGGACATAATGCGCTTTTCCCGCTGTGGAAGCGGTTTGTTTTCCTTTTTTTTTTTTTGAACTGCCAAAGGTCCTGCGGACATTTTCGGTTGCCTTCTGTTTTTCCAGCGGTCCTTTGACTATTCGCCATCTTGCCGGCTTCATTTGTTTGTGTTGGTTTGTCTGCGCTCAGCGCTTTGGGTATTTCGCCGGGATAATAAGATAAAAGCTTTAGTGCCATTCGGGCCAAGTTAGTTAATTGCGTGAATGGCAGTTGTGCCCTCATTTCATTCCATTTCATACTGCTCTTACTCCGATTGAATCGTGCAACCAAATTGGGTGATTAGCAACTGCAGTTCACCGGCTGGGATTATAGCCAGATTTTTCCCTTTCCATTGCCCCCACCTGAAATATCTCCAGGCAGTCAAGCCCTGCTGCTTCTCATCTTTTATTCAGCACGCAACAATGACAAGTAAAATTTCACCAATGGAGCACATGAAATTCATGCAAAACACTTTGATATTCATATAGTTGAAAATACACCGCAAGGAAATTGAATGTCAAATGTAAGCTAGAGAAAAATGTGAAAAGGTAACTTGCTTACTTTATAGTATATTTACTACGATCACGCAGAAGCACATCTTTCTGCAAACTTATTTTCCTCGCGCTTTGTCCAAATGTCTTTCCCAGTGTATACGTCTATACGAGTATATGTATATGTATATGTGGTCTGGCCTGAGTGCTGGTGAAAAAACAACAAATAAACATGAAGGCAGCAGCAACAAACAATGGCAGCAACAACCGGCAATTGTTTTTGCAAACACACACATCATACATACGCAGATATTCGACACTTGCAGTGCCGCCTAAATGTTCATGAATGCTCCATAAAATATTAAATGTTTATGAATTTCAAAGGGCTCCTTACTTCATTTGCATAATCCCAATGTTTGTTGCCAAGTGTTTGTGCGTATGTCCGTGTACTCGTGTGTGGGCAAGTGTCACATATCGTTAGTCTGACTTGTGGCAATAGCTGGAAATGTGTCACATCAGAATGGAGAATGTGGCATATAGTAAAGCATCAGGATCAGGATCATGGGAGTGTCAAGTGCTTAGGCATCTCTGCCCAAGTGGCCCACTTCTAGGCGCCCTCTTCTGTCATCTAATTCCTGTTTTTCTTCGCACGCGCTGTTATCGCTTTTATTGCAATCTGCTTCGTCCAGCACAGAAAACAAATATTTAAAATATACGTTTTATATAACATTTCGTGGCACATTACAAAATACAGGTGTGTCGCCTAGCGATCGAAGGATTTATTTGAAGTACATTGTTTTAAGGAAAACATTGTAGGGATAACCTACAAAGTAAATAAAGTAAGTATCAAATATTCTTGACACATTCAGGTGATTAGCAGAAATTGCTAACCATTTTACAGCTTCACTTTTTCTCACTGTGCACCCTTGCCGCCTTTGCAGCTACTCGAAGGACTCTCAATAGGGGCAGCACGTCCTGGGAATCCTTTTTATGGCTGCTGGCGCATAGTTTATTGCATCCGTTTCCTGTTGCCATCTCGCATCTCTGCATACTTGCTGGCTAATTCGTGTTAACATTTTTTTTCAGCTTGCCATTGTTATGGCCCTTGCACTCGTTGCTGTATTTTTTCGCTGATTGCAGCTCATTTGCATAGGAAAGCAGTAAAATCGGGGAAAGCGACAACCTTCTTATCGAGCGTCGACTGTTTCCTCGACTTAATTGCCATTCGGCTGCGTACTGGATGTTATTTATGGGCCCAGCTTAGGCCTCGTTTAGCCAGTGGAAATAATTACCAATACAATTATCACACACTGGGCCACTGTGCACTGAGAGAAAGCTCGCATATTCTGGAGCGCACAGTATGGGAGTACTTCTACAGGGATTCTTCTACGTGTAGTTTCCCTGCCCGGTGGAGCGCTAAAAATTTATGACACAATGCCGCTTGCCAAACAAGAAATTAAAAGTTTGCGACCCGCACTCGCCAAACTTTTGCGCACACGCATGTGGCGCAGTGGAAAATTTATTAAACTAACTGCAAATTAGTGCACAATTGCACACACTCACACATGAGAGCTGAAAACTTTTAAGAGGGGTCCAAATAAAAAAAGGAAAAGTCGGCGACTAAGGGAAAAGAAAAGGCTGCAGCATAAATCAAGTCGCCTGCAACGGGGACTGCCCTTAAATTATGTTGCCAATTGGCTAAATATTTCCGCCAGATTGCTGCTCTAATTTCCACAATATTAAATAGGAATGGCGCCGCGGCCAAAAATACGAGTACAAAAGTAACGCGGCCAGACACACGACAATGCCTCTAAGTGATTTTCCTTTGTCACTGGAAAATTGTAAAACAATTGTTATAAATTCTATGCGCTTTTTTGCGTTGCCTTGTTTGGCGCTTGATAAATGCAGACAATTAGCCAAATGGTTGACTGGCGCCAGCTTCAGCCATGGATAGACAGTTGGTAGCCGACTTCCACGCCACTGGGAGAAAGGAAGCTGCAGGAGTATACCAATCTCCAAAAAGGAATTTTCCCATTAACTGTCAGTTCGCTTAAAATACTTATTATATTTTAATATTAAAGTGAACTC